CTACAAAACCCAGTGTGTGGCCGGGACCAACTACTTCATAAAGGTAAAGATGCTGCAGTTAATATGTTTCTGTTAAATGTTGTTTTTTTTATTATCTGTGCATTTTTTAAAAACACAAAACAGCATGATGTTTTAGAGTTCCTGTCATTCAGGATGTGTTAATCAGACAAAAATAATGGAAACAATAAATAGATTAAAAAAAATCTGAGGAGTTCTTTATTCAGAGTGGAATGGAGAAACTTTCACCTGGATGGAGAGCAAAATGTCTTCAACTACAAAATAAAAGTCTTTAAATTAAATTACTACAAAGCTGTTATTATTCATGAGATGAAAACTGTTTGATATCACTGACACCAAACAAATAAATCCAGGTAAAAATATTTTTTGACTCAGTGGTTCCTAGTTGGTGTCAGGACACCCCAGTGAGTCCTGAAACATCAAGGTGGGTTCTTGGAAGAATTGAAGAACATCTATTTTTTTTTTTTGCATTAGTTGTTATAAAAGTCAGGTTGGCGTACAAAACAGAAGAAAGTAGGCTAATGATTTTTGTTATTATGCTTTATCAGCTGAATTAATTGGGGTTCAGGTCTCTAATGATGTTATTTTGTGGGTCAGAAGCTGATAAGTTTGTGAAGCGTTGCTCTGACTGGATCTATCTGTGTTTCAGATCCATGTGGGTGGAAATGAGTACATCCACATTCGTGTTTATGAAAAACTTGCATGTAACGGAGGAGGACTTGAGCTGACCAGTATCCAGCACCCCAAGACCCACCAGGACCCGATTGTGTTCTTCTGAACAGATCAGACCGGTGTCTGCACTCAAGACATGGAGTCATCAATTTCTAATGATTCAAGTCCAGCTAAAACCTAAATGTGAATATTTACCACACTTTATTTTTTATGACCAACTTAAAACCAGTCACATTTTGTTTTACCTTGTGACCGATGTTCCTCTTTGTTCAGTCCACAATGTGTGATTTCTGTTCACGATATTAAACCTAAAATGCTGACTTTAGTCTACAGTCTGTGTTCATGTGTGCAGTTGAGTCATCGACAGTATCTGTGTTTCCAAGTTTACATTAACTTTAAGTCCTTGTTGAAACATGCAGTGGCAAACATTTTGCTACAAATTCCCGCGATGACAGGTTCAGGTWTTTCCAGTCAGGTAGTAGATKTGTATTTTGGGTGTAGACGKAKAATTGGATCAGTTCAACAAGGAAAATACTTCTGAAACTATCTATAACAATCTAATAAATGGGAGTGGTTCTTTTTTAAAGTCAAATGAAATGTAATCACTGTATTTTCTACCTTAAAAAGAAAAACACAGGAAATAATTAGAGACAAATAAACTTAAACCACCACCTTATCAATATAGAATCCAGTCCACCCATTATCTGCTACTTGCTAGAGTCAGGTTGAGGGGGAAGCAGGTTGTTCAGAGTTGTTCTGTTATTCCAGCTCTTCTGGGAGGATTC